AAAAATTTCTTCCTTTTCATCTCATTTGCCTTTTAAATAAATAAAAATATTTTTCATTTTTTAAATTTTTTCTTTTTTCTTCATTATACTTCTTTCATTATTAATAATATCACCATCATTTAATTATAATTATAATTATAATTTATATACAGAAACATAGAATAAAAATAAAGTTTTTCTTTTTATGTGTTTTTATATCTTTCTATCAAATTATATCATGTCATGATGTCAAACATATCATTAAAAAAACATAGGATTATTTAAAAAAGTAATAATTAATAAGTAGGTTACATTTATAAAGAATATTATTATATATAAATCAAAACATGTCTAAGAAAAATAAATTTATGAGTACAATAGTCCACAAAATATACTTTTTTAGAAATATAAAATTGAAACAAACTTTTCCTGAAATATTGAAGGTTCCCAGTGCCTAAACATTGATTCTACCCAATAGCACCACCAAACTTAAAAAAACACATCAAAATTCACTCTCTTTTATTTAAGAAATAAAAAGATAGAAAAATGAAAACCTAACAAAAACTGGTAAAATATTAAATAAAAATATTGACGAAATTTAATACAATATAGACACAAAAAGGCATTTACCATTGAATTATTTTAAAAAATAATAATACTTAGATATAATGTTATAAATGTTAGTTATTTTGATTAAAGAATAAATAGAATGCATTATTTCTTTTTCATTAATGAAATCATTAATGGATTGGTCTAAGATAATGGTATATTTTTCCATCACTTAAACCATTAAGACAATGGCGAGTCAATATATAATTATTTCCTGGCTCGGGTGCACTTGTGGTAAACCAATTGGAAGTTGAACTAACTTAACAAAGGAAAATAATGTTTGGAGTAAAAGTAATTCTATTTTTATGTATTAGGATGTGTAATTAAAATATATAAAAGAAAGGGATGGAAGCTTCATTTTGACTAGTGAATAATGAATGGCACTAAGAGATTCAATCTCACTCAGAAATGAGAACACGTTTAGGTCTTGATAGGTGTGTTAATAGACCATCCTTTAGACCTTTCAATTCCAAATTTTGGTTCTTAATTAATGAGTTTAATCTCTAATTTGAAAATATTGTAACTACTTTATCATCACATGAATAATTTCAATAGGATGATAAATATTAAAAACTCCAAAATCATTTCTAACAACATAAAACCCACCTTTGTTCTTATTGTTGTAAAAGCTGACAGAGACGCATACAAACTTTATTCTTGAGACGTATATAAATACTGTTTTTAAGTACTTATCTGCGGTGTATTGCACAAGTCTCTCAGGATACACTAAGAACTTCTCTCCAAGGATATCAGAAACTAGGAAGAAATTCTTAAAAGAGTAAATAAACTTAGGATAATAGTAGAACAGGAAGAAAACAGAGAAAAGAAGATGAGAGAGGTGTGTCTAGAAAAGTGTGAAGTGATATCTATTTATAGTTGTAGATTAGACCCAAAACCCTAATTACTTAGGTTTTGTGTAACGTTTTCTATAACGATGCGTTCTCTGTAACGTTACGTTCTCTGTAATATTATAAGTTTAACAATACCCCTTATTTTATAACGGTCCCCCATATATTGCAAAACAAAAGAGATAAAAATAAAAGAAGAAAATATTAGGTCTCATATAAGATGTAATGCATCAGAGCTAGTATAACAAGTTATACGAACCAGTCTTAGACTGAAAAACTTAACACACAGTGTAGTTGGTGTAACAAGCTATATGAACCAAACACTTAGTGTGTGTTAGCGGTTTTAACAATCACAATACATCCCCACAATTTTTGTTGTTATCGTTGTGTTGCGCTTACTAGGTCATGCGTGTGCCCCATATTCATGAGTGTTCTAAAAATCTTGCAAAGATCCCATACAAACGGCCTCACTCGACACTCATATAGGTGACTTCATCAAGCATATGCTGCAAATCATACACCACCCGTAAGGGATATGAAATCGTTACAAACTTTGTTTAGAATAAAATTTGTATACCATATAGAATTTTAATTACAAAGTTTAACCTCTCAATAATACAGTATCTAGCACTTTCACATATATACCATAGGAATGGACATAATTGATTTTGATCAATTTTAGTGTTAGCAGAACTAACAAGTGACTTGTTTTTACCCATATGAATCTTATTCATGAGATCTCCAATCACAAAGGTTGGGTTACTATCACTTGTTTGTTTGCAAGTTGTTTAAGTCGCATTCCTCTCGATGTTTCTAAAATCATATTTCTCGCTAAGGGTTTTGTCAGAGGATCTGCTAGATTTCGTTATGACTTCACATAATCAATAGAAATTGTGTTCCATTCTTTAGCAGCTGCTTCACTAAATTATGTCTCAATGGTATATGTCTGTTTTTTCCATTGTAGTTCTTATTTTTAGTTATAGTTATTGCTGATTGGCAATCACAATAAATTGATACAGACGGGATTCATTTCATTCCTAATGCAATGTTTGCTAAGAAATTTTTCAACCACTTAGCTTCACTACCAGCCATTTCGAGAGCAACAAATTCAAATTCTATTGTTGATCTTGCAATAATTATTTGTCTGACTGATTTTTATGTAATCGTACCATCTCCGAGTGTGAATACATAATCACTAGTGAATTTTGTCTCATGTGAATCAGAGATCCAGTTAGCATCACTGTACCCTTCTAGTACAACAGGAAATCCATTATATTCAATGACATAATTTATTAAATCTCTTAAGTATCTCATAAGTCTTGCATTCCAATGTTCCTGATTAGGACATTGAGCGTACCTACTCATTCTACCTACTGCATAAGTAATGTCAAGTCTAGAAAAGCTCATTAAATGCAGTAAGTTCCCAATTACCTGGGAATACTAAGGTTGAGAGATTGAGTCTTCTCTATTTTTCTTTAACTTAGATTTAGCATCATAAAGGGTATTCACTGGTTTGACGTTATAACGCTTAAACTTCATAAGAAGTTTCTCAGCGTATTGTTCTTGGGATAGTAAAATATTATCTTCCTTCCTTATGACTTTAACTCTCAAAATCACATTAATTTCACCCATGTCTTTCATTTCAAATTTAGATCCAGAAACATTTTAGTTCTAGAGTCAATGTCAATGCATGTACCAAATATTAGCATGTCATCTACATATAAACATATAATGACACATTCATCACTTTCAAATTTAGAGTATACATCAAGTTTTTCATTAGTTCAAAAACCATTACAAAGAAGAACACTATCAAGTTTTTCATGCCACTGTTTTGGTGTTTGTTTTAATCCATACAAAGATTTTAAAAGTTTGCACACTTTGTTCTCTTGACCAGGAATAACACACCCTTCAGGTTGAGTTATATAAATTTCCTCATCTAATTCACGTTGTCTTAACATCCATATGGTGTATAACCAACTTATGGATAGCTGCTAGAGCTAACAAAACTCGAATAGAGGAAATCCTAGTTACAGGAGCAAAGGTGTCAATGTTGGATTTTTAAGTAAAACCCTTTGCTATTAATCTTACCTTATATTTATCTTTAGATCCATCAGAATGATATTTTTTCAAAGATCTACTTACAACCAATAGGTTTTGTTCCTTTAGGAAAATAAACTAAAGTTCAAGTATTATTTTTTAATTGAATCAATTTCAATCTTAATGGCCTTATTCCAATGTATTGCATCAAGAGCCCTAGTAGCCTCTAAAAAACTCATTGGATCATTTTCAACTAGATAAGTGTAGAAATCATCTCCAAAGGAGGTTTCCTTCCTCTATAGATTGTTTAGGTGTCTCACTAATTTTTAGAGGAAAAATATGTTCAAAGAACTAATATTTTTTTTCTCCACTGTAGTATTATGCTCAATTACATTACTTTTGAGGACAAGAAACCTACATGCAGCATTATATTCTGCATAGCCTAAGAACATACACTCATAAGTTTTAAAGCATATTTTCCTTTTCTTAGGATAGAAGAACTTTTCATTTTCCTAAGACAGACGCTAGTGTACACAACAAGAAATTTTAATATTACCGACGGTCAAAATCCGTCGGTAATTTCCATTTACCGAACGGATTTAATAATCCATCGGTAATATTTTTATTATTTATTAAATATTTTACTTATATAGCTTATTTATTTTATAGAATAACCCTTTATATTTTTATTATAGTCTTTAATTATTATTAGATTAAGACAACATTATATTCTACATAGCCTAAAAACATACAATCATAAGTTTTAAAGCATATTTTCCTTTTGTTAGGATAGAAGAACTTTTCATTTTCCTAAGACAGTTTTAAAGCATATTTTCCTTTTGTTAGGATAGAAGAACTTTTCATTTTCCTAAGACAGACGCTAGTGTACACTACAAGAAACTTTAATATTACCGACGGGTAATTTGTTAGGATAGAAGAACTTTTCATTTTCCTAGACGGGTAATTTCCATTTACCTTTTATTATTTATTAAATATTTTACTTATATAGCTTATTTATTTTATAGAACCCATTCCCTTTATATTTTTATTATAGTCTTTAATTATTATTAGAGTGTACACTACAAGAAACTTTAATATTACTGACGGGTACCCGCTTATGGGGTCAAATCCATACGTTCTAAGAAGAAATATTTGAATCTCATCGATCTCATAAGTATTATACCAAATCTCATCAATCGAATTGCTTTTTCAAGAAATACGAGACATCTAAGTCATCCAAGTAAAGCAATCTATTCCTTGATAAGAAAAATAAAAAACGTGAATGGTGATTGGATTGATGATAAAATAGAATCCTGGGTCTCGAACACTGATTCAATTGATGATAAAGAAAGAGAATTCTTGGTTCAGTTTTCTACCTTAACAACAGAAAAAAGGATTGATCAAATTCTATTGAGTCTGACTCATAGTGATCTTTTATCAAAGAATAACTCTGGTTATCAAATAAGTGAACAACCGGGAGCAATTTACTTACGATACTTAGTTGACATTCATAAAAAGTATCTAATGATTTATGAATTCAATACATCCTGTTTAGTAGAAAGACGTATATTCCTTGCTAATTATCAGACAATTACTTATTCACAAACCTTGTGGGGGGCTAATAGTTTTCATTTCCCATCTCATGGAAAACCCTTTTCGCTCCGCTTAGCCCTACCTCCCCCTAGTAGGGGTATTTTAGTGATAGGTTCTATAGGAACTGGACGATCCTATTTGGTCAAATACCTAGCGACAAACTCCTATGTTCCTTTCATTACAGTATTTCTGAACAAGTTCCTGGATAACAAGCCTAAGGGTTTTCTTATTGATGATAGTGACGATATTGATGATAGTGACGATAGTGACGATATCGACCGTGACCTTGATATGGAGCTGGAGCTTCTAACTATGATGAATACGCTAACTATGGATATGATGCCAGAAATAGACCGATTTTATATCACCTTTCACTTCGAATTAGCAAAAGCAATGTCTCCTTGCATAATATGGATTCCTAACATTCATGATCTGGATGTGAATGAGTCGAATTACTTATCCCTCGGTCTTTTAGTGAACTATCTCTCCAGGGATTGTGAAAGATGTTCCACTAGAAATATTCTTGTTATTGCTTCGACTCATATTCCCCAAAAGTAGATCCAGCTCTAATAGCTCCGAATAAATTAAATACATGCATTAAGATACGAAGGCTTCTTATTCCACAACAACGAAAACACTTTTTCACTCTTTCATATACTAGGGGATTTCACTTGGAAAAGAAAATGTCCCATACTAATGGATTCGGGTCCACAACGATGGGTTCAAATGTACGAGATCTTGTAGCACTTAACAATGAGGCCCTATCGATTAGTATTATACAAAAAAAATCCATCATAGACACTAATATAATTAGCTCTGTTCTTCATAGACAAACTTGGGATTTCCGATCTCAGGTAAGATCGGTTCAGGATCATGGGATCCTTTTCTATCAGATAGGAAGGGCTGTTTCACAAAATGTACTTCTAAGTAATTGCTCCATAGATCCTATATCTATCTATATGAAAAAGAAATCATGTGACGGGGGGGATTCTTATTTGTACAAATGGTACTTCAAACTTGGAACGAGTATGAAGAAATTAACGATACTTCTTTACCTTTTGAGTTGTTCTGCCGGATCGGTCGCTCAAGACCTTTGGTCTCTACCCGGACCTGATGAAAAAAATGGGATCACATCTTATGGACTCGTTGAGAATAATTCTGATCTAGTTCATGGCCTATTAGAAGTAGAAGGCGCTCCGGTGGGATCCTCATGTACGGTAAAATATTTTACTTATATAGCTTATTTATTTTATAGAACCCATTCCTTTTATATTTTTATTATAGTCTTTAATTATTATTAGAGTGTACACTACAAGAAACTTTAATATTACCGACGGGTAATTTCCATTTACCTTTTAATATTTATTAAATATTTATTATATAGCTTATTTATTTTATAGAACACATTCCCTTTATATTTTTATTATAGTCTTTAATTATTATTAGATTAAGACAATTGTTATTGACAGGATTCAAATCCAAGTACCTTAGAGTTAGAGGCTGATACTCCAACCACTAAGCTACAAGAATTTTTTGATAATAATTTACAAATAAATTATATTTATATATTTATATATTTATATATTTATATATTTATATATTTTTATATTTATATATTTATATATTTATATATTTATATATTTATATATTTATATATTTATATATTTATATATTTATAGTAGGGTTTAATTCACATATTTCTTTTTCTATTTTTTCTCCATATACTTTTATAATTTTCTTAATGTTTTGACTATTTAATTGTTCTTCTATTCTTTTAAATTTTATTTCTTTATTTAACATGTTTATTTGTTTTTTCTTTATTTCTACTTGGCTTATAGAGGATTCTTTTAATAAGTTTAATTCTCTAGTTTTAGGTGGTTTTATAAATTCAAAACAAATTTCTTTATCTAGAATACTGGTTTTTAAACCTAATTCAGTTACTTGAAAATGATATAATAATGTTAGAAATGGTGTTCCTAATATTACTTGGTGTGTTCATATTTCTTATTAATACAAAAGAAGTATTATAACAAATTTTATTTTTACATATTTTTACATTTGATAACTTATATTGAATATGCATTTTAGATCCATTAGCGCTAGTTACTTTTTCTAGAGTTTTCTCATAATATTTTGTAGGTATTAAACCTTCTTGAATATAGTTTACATCTCGCTCTCGAATCTACTAAAGCTATAGTTTTAAATTTTTCTTCTTTTATTATTAATGTAATTTCTACATGCCATTTATGTGTTGTCATTAAGTTTAATAAACTAATATAACTTTCATCTTTTATATCTTCAATTTTACTAGAGCTTCCTTCATTATGTTCTTGATTTTTTATAATATTTTTCCCTTCTAATTCTAATAACCTATATTCTAAAGATATATCATTTTCTTTTAATAATTGTACTTCTTGTTTAAGGGTTTTAATTTCTTTCTGTAAATCTTTTATAGTTATTTGTTGACTTGGACTTTTAAATCTATTATAAATTTCCTTCATACTTATTGGAGTTATAGTTTTCTGAACTTCTTCACTACGAGTTATTAAACTACTTAGTTGTTGTAAGAATTCAGTTTTTAAAGGAGATTCTTTTAATTTATCTATTATAGAGATTAAGGTAGAAGTTTGATCTTTTGTTAGCATATTTATATTTTACAATCTAAACAATTACATAATTCTGGGCCTAAACAATAATTATCTTCTGATAATTTTTCCTCTTCACTAGAAGAAATTTGTTCTATTTGTTCTAGTTCTAATTCACTATCTGTATTTTCTATAGTATTATCGATTCTTCTTCTTCGAATTTATTAGAATATTTAATAGATTTTCTTTTAATTTTTCATCCTCTAATTGGTTTATCTTTTTTATAACTTTACAGTTATTAGCATAATGACCTGGTTTTCAACATTTCCAACATACATTCTTTTTCTTATTGGGTTTATTATATTTTGGTTTTCTTGTCCATTTAGTCTTGTTTTCTGTATTTTTATTTTCTATTTCTTGAGATTTTTTATACGGTTTTTTATATACTTTTTCTTGTCGTTTAATTACCTTCTTTTTTCTAGCACTAGGGGCTCTTATTGGTTCCATACCATACTGATAACAAAAATTTCCTATCTCTCTTTTGTTAATCATACTTTCTTTTCTAAGTTTATTTTGTAGTTTAAAGTCAGTACAGACTTGTACCCCTGTCTCTACGATTATATTGTGTATCTGTCCATAAGTTAGGGTATCATAAGATAAAGGTTTACCATAATGATTTTCTCAATTTAATTTTACCTTCTCTGAAAATAACTTAGCCAATCCTGCTAGAAATCTTTCTTTCCAAAATCCTGCGAATCCATCTTCTCTTAAGGTTATTTTTGATAGAAAATTATCTTTATACCATCTATAATCAGACATTGTTGGACAATATAAGTTTGCTAATTGGCTAGCTAATCTTTCCTTAAAAATATTGGGATCTCCTACAAAGTTTTGTATTATTGAGTATATTAAGATTGTTACAGCATCTTCTTGATTAGTATCGGTTTTTATACTATTTAATATTGATAACTTATCTTGTTCTGTGCAGAAATTATCCCACCAGCCTTTCAATTGGCCAGTGAATCCTTGGATTATAGCTATAGCTGCAGATTTGTCACTACAACCTTTAGACTTATGAGCAGTAGCTGCCATAGTCATTTGACAAGTTAGATCTAATATGGCCTGTTCACTTAATCCATCTAAATTCCATTCAGTTATATCATTTCCTGAGAAGGAGTTTTGTACTAATTCCCCTCTTTCCTCAAATTGTATATCTGCGAAAGTGGGTCTAGAATAATAATTTCTAAGCTTTGGATATGTTTTCATTTTATTTATTTCTATTGTATTTATGGAAGTATTTCCTATTTGTTCTATTTTCTTTTTTAATTCTTCTATCTCGTATATCAGTATTACTTTTTAATCTTAATGCTTCTAATTCTTTTTGTGGTACATTAAATAATTTATATATTGGTTTTACAGGTTCTTTAGAACTAGTAGGAATATCTTTTACAGATTTATTTTCTATTCTAGTTAATTATTTAGACATTACTTCTAATACAGTATTAGAATAATTAAGTTGAGAATGTAATTTTTTTATATCTTTTATTTGTACGGGTTTTTCTTCACTTTTAACATCTTTATACTGGACTTGCTTCTATTTCTAAATATTTTGTGGGTTTTATCATAATTCCTTGTTGTGGAGGATATTCGACTGTTATTATTTCATTATTAATAGTTTTCCATGTATTTGTTATTTTTTCTAAAGGATATAAATTCTTTTCCTGACTATAATTAAAAAACCAATCAAAGAAATATAAATTTATTTCATTTTCTTCTAAATAATCATAGAACTTTTTTCTATATTCTTCCGTTTGTTGTTTACTAAATGTTTTAAAATACCATTCTCTATTTTGTTCATTATATTCTGATTCAAAATCTTGTCTAATCCAATTTTTATCTATATTAAAGGAAGCTTCTCGTTGTACTGTATTTAATATTTGTGAAGCTGTCGGAGAATATTGAGGAGATTCTGTTCCCCTAGACTCTTCATATACGGGTTTGGATACTCTAGGAGTAATATTATTTAACCCTCTTAAATCTAAATTTATTGTCGAACCATCTATAGAGTGTCTTGACGATTGACCTTTATATATCATTTGAGGTTCTTTATTTTTAAATGATAATGATCTATTCATTCTTAATCTAATATCTGTTCCATCTTGAATTATTTCTCTAATCTGAGTATTATATATTTTTGGTTCTTCTATAATATCTTCTAATTTCCATTCTTCCGGAATTTTACTTATTACTTCTTCATGGCTTAATCTTTTAGGAATTTGTACTGAGGATTTTCTAAGATTAGCTTCTACTAATATGGTTTCGTCTTTTAGAGAAGATCTTAAAGCTTTATAATTATAATCTATTCTGGTTACCTTATAATAAACTCTATATATTATCTCGTATTGGACCTGATTCTTCATCTACAATTTCTTCAAGAATTTGAATATATAATTTATTTGCTTCACTTGGTTTTATCATTTTTAATATTCATTGAAAAATTAGGATAACAGTTAAAAAAGGCAGGGCCATCATGTAAATTACTTTCTAGAATAGCGATTATGGAATCATTAAATTTTTTAAGTCTTATGTCTCTTAATATCATTAATATTGGACTATTAACTCCTATTCTCGTAATTAGGCTTTGCGCTACTTGGATTAATCCTAAATGAATAAAATTATATCCATCTTTTATGTGTTGATCTAATATTGATTGTTCTAAAATATTTATAATCTTATTATTCTTAGTTCCTGGATAACTATATTCAACTATATGTACTTCATCTAAACTTGTTGACCAAAATTTATGTTGTTTATAGACTTCACATTTTTTTACTATAGGTATTGACCAGTTATGCAAAGAATTTTCTATTTCTGCTATTTGCAATTCTTTTTCTTTATTATCTGAGGAGTTTGAAGAAGACGAAGCCTCTTATTGTGGTGTTTTCACTACTATTTGTTTATCTTTGTTTCTTA